TGGGTGTGTTCAGGCAAAAACCAAATGGCAGAGATGCTTCATTTTGTGGACTTATCACCATCTCTGTGATTTATTAGTAAAGATAATAATTGTGTTTATGCAGACACAGATGAACAATGTCAGCACATTCGAGCCACATTAGAAATAATTTAGTAATATGCATTAGCAATATGTTATGGAAACGGCAGTTGGAGGAGGCCACATTGGCAACATCGTGCCCAAGCTCTGGATCTAGGTTCTGTTACTTACTGTCATCCTGGGGACATTACTTAATTCTGCAGCTCAGTTTTCCCTGCAAAATGAGAACAATAGTATCTACCTTGTAGGGCTGTTGTGAGGATTAAATGAAATACTACATCTTTGACTAGTGCCTGCTACTTGGAAAGTTCAAACAAGCTCTGTGATGCTGAATATGTCACTTAGCCTCTCTGGATTTTTCTTCACTGCAAAAGAGGGAGGAACAAAAATCACTAATTTTTTTCTTCTTCACTTCATGTAGCCACATGGATATCTAATAGCTGCCTCCAACTCAGATAGACCAAAACAGTTAATTTCCACTTCTCTAAACGCACTCCTTCCACACACACCCTCCCCCCCCAGTTCAAGTTAAAAAAAAAACAACACAACAACGTATGAGTTGCCTCTGAGTCATCTATTTCTTTCACCATCTAAATCTAATCCCTCTACAAACCCTATTGGTTCTACTTCCAAAACATATCTACTGCTATAACCCTAGCCCAGTAATCTCTTGTTTGTTCTGTTGCCAAAGATTCCTAATCCATCTTTCTGCCTCTACTCTTGCCCCTTTCCAGCCTATTTTCCACCGAACCAAAGTGATATTTAAAACAAACTAGATATCAGTCTCCTGCTTAAAACTCCCCAGTGCTTTTCATCATACTTAGAATAAGATCCAAACCCCTTTAGCTGCTACCACTCTCCCCCGTATGCTTTAGACGCATGGCCCTTTTATCTTTTCCTTCCAGCTCACCAAACTCATGGCCGCTTTGGGTCTTAACACTTGTTCTCTGTCCTTGGACTATTCATCCCCAGGTGCCAGCATGACTTGCCTCTTGTCCTATTGATTTCAGCTCTGTCTAATCACCCCCTCCCTCTACCAGTAGTGCTCTAGCATACCCTATTTTATTTTTTTACTATCTGAAAATAGCCTGTTTACCTCTTTGTCCTCCCCTCCCCCCCAACATTGAAATTAAATGTCCTTATATTAGGGTCTAATTCCTAGCACAGTGCCCGGCACATAGCAGGAATGCAGAAAAAAAAATCTGAGTGAATGAATGAACATGTAAAGGATTAAATATAAACCCATTTTAATGAGACATCAAAATATATATTAATTACTTGAGCCAAGTGTTGTGTTTTTATTTTTAAAGTGTGAGGACCTGTTGGTGGTTTTCCCTTCATTTAATTCCCCATACGGAATGAATACTATCGAGTACATATGCTTGTGCTAGAAATAGGACTGTAACTGAAACAACAGTAATACAATTACAGGTGCTTTTCCCTCCAGTAATTCTTAAATTTACCATTATCCATCTCCTCTCCCACTAATGTGGTAACATTAGTGCAAATTTCTATCCTCTCTGGCTTAGAGGATTGCCTCCTTTCTGCCCCCCTTCCCCCCCCCCCCC